TGCCCTGTTGGCACCTGGGGCTTCCGTTATCCAAGGCCGGTCAGTTCGATGGTGTTGACGCCGGGGCGGCTGGGAGACGGTCAGATCTCGCAGCCGACGGCTGCGGCGACGGGCTCTGACTCCCTGTCGGGCGTCCGCCCGGACTGGCCGGTACAGCTGACCGGTACAGCTCGCGGTACAGCTCGCGCTGCGCACCGCGAGCTGGCTCGGTGCCACTGATGGGGCCGTCCAGTCAGCTGGGACGGATCCCGAGCCGCCCCGCTCCGGCGTCATCCCTATATCGGCCAGCCAGCCTCCGGCAGATCTGGGTCAATCGAACCTAGAGCGTATCGATCTCATTAGGGGTGCGTCCAGGTCAGCGGCGCCCGCTCTCGGCCTCGCCCCGTCAGCGAGACGCGTTCTCGCGCTGCAAACCCCCCTCCCCATCCCCTCCAGCGCCCCGACGCGCTGCCGCCTCCGCCGCTGCCATCGCCGCCAGGAAAATTGCGTTTTCCCTCGGGCTGTTGTCGCGTCGTCGTGCTTATGCAGATTGCCCGGGGAATCGACCGCAGCCAACTCCCGCTGGCTGGGAGTTCATTTTTTGTCGCAGCTGAATAACAAATATGGGGTATTCTAAATCCGGTTTACAGTTGTGTTATTCGAGTTGACGAAAGAAGATGAAGGCGACGAAACGCTGATAAAGCGACTTGTTAATACTGCGGCGCCGTCGGCACGTGCCGGCCTTGGTACGTGTGTAAAACGCGCCCAGTGGTTGGGACCCGTTGGTGTGTGCAGTCTGTTTGGGATAAGCAGCGTTTGGCAGTGTAATGCAAACCGGGGCGGGGTCCCCCAGCGTCACTTAACAAGCTTTTAGGTGCTGAGCAGTAAATGCGATGTCGAATCGCTCTAGTGCCATCTTAAAGCGTCGTTGCTTTCAGCTGGCTTCTCAAACTCGGGAGCTCCTACTAATCCGTTGAAAAGCACGCTGAGGATTGCCTTTAAAGCAGCGCCGCCAGGGCATTAAGCGTAATGCCGCGTACGCATGACGTCACGTG